AATACCTTTTTTATTTTTTCTCTTATTTGCAGACTGCCATTAGTTACTATGAAGCCGCTTGCCTCTATGGCAGCGTGAATGTTAAGAAAGCTGCAATGGTCTTTCTGGAAACAAATTTGCTCTGCATTTATCACAAAGATGAGCAACTGCTGCGTCAAATCAGCRTCGAACTAATGACCAAATTGGTAGCCAGTCCCGATTTATATGTGATGCAGACTGAGTTTTCTTTATACACATTGCTGCGCACTTGGATGTACTTGCGTCTGCATCCATTGTACGATGCTGAAAATACTGCGGATAAAGCGCCTGTAGCTGGTGCGGGTGATGGCAGTAGAAGTGCCGTTGGTAGCAATAATAATAACAGCAATAACGAGAGTCAGTGTCTGTCAGATCTCGTAAAGGATTACTTTGCGCATCGCAGTGAGAGACGTTCATTCCTGGCCACACCCGAAGGTCAACAATTTGTGCCGCCATTCCAAGCGCTACGCACGCAGTACTTAACCAATCATCATACAGATTTGAAAATCGTACTTAATGATAATATTATTCCAAAGGATTGGCTGCATAGTCATGTGCTAAGTCACTGGCATTCGATTTTGAAGGTCGACCATTTGCCGGAGGAGGGGTAAGTGTATTTTATATGTGTATGCGAATCTAATTTGTAATATATATAAGTACATTTATAAATCCAACACCTGTGAAATTAAAGAGATTATAGGCTTTTTAGTTTTTGAGAAATCATAAAAAAAATTTGTGTAAACAGAAAAAACGTTAATATCCTTTGCACAGAAACTATAATACCCTTCACAGGTATATTTTTTATAGCATAAAAGGGTATGAGGAGAACTTTATCTTGATTTTGATTAATCARTTTGTATGACAACTATATGCTATATTAGTCCGATCCKAGCAATTTATTCGCAAATTGTAGCTTTGTGGCAGAGAATAATATGYGCCAAAATTCATGAAGATATCTCATCAAATAAAATAGTTTTCCATACAAAAATATGTTTTGGAGCGGTCAGTTTGTATGACAGCTATATGCTATAGTAGTCCGATCTGAACAATTTCTTCGAAGATTATGCCGTTGTCGTGAACAACAAAATAACCCAAAATTTCAAAAACATATCTCGTGAAATAAAAAGTTTAYCATACGAAAACAAGATTTTGATCGCCCAGTTTGTATGGTGGCTATATGCTATGGTGGTTTGATATCGGTGGGTCCGATAAATATGCAGCTTCTTGGTCAGAAAAGCATGTGACCAAAATTTYAGATAGATATCTCAAAAACTAGTTCGAGAAAAAACGAGTTTAAAGCTTCGGGTAAAATAATAAAGTCCAGTGTCAACCCGCACAGACGGCTTGGATGTCGTGTAACTAAAGTAGCTATAGCTYAGGAAATAGTGAATATTTTGATAAACCTGCTTAAAAAGTTAAGCTTTGAAAATATGGAGGAATTTACTTTATTCAAAGTCTCACACYAGAATATCCCCAGAAGGGAAATATTTATTTTTCACGTTTCTTTAGCAAATAATTAACACTTAAACGTAGTGCAAGCAAAAATATGCATTCCACGATCTTCTGCAATCTCCTAAAAACAATTTCAAATTATTATTTAATTTACTGTATTTTTGAAATTTTTTTACACCTYTTTCGCAGACCGCAAAACCTTGATGCCGATGTGTTTTATAAGAATTGCATGCGCTGCGGCCGCATTCTACTTGAGCCTGGCTACCAGAAGTGGCGGTGGACGGGCTTCAACTTCGGTTTAGATCTTGTGCTGGTCGCTGATTCACGCTTGCTTAGCATACGACGTCACCATCGCAATGAACACGAGCGTTTGCTGAGCCTACAAACGAAAAGGCAGTTTATGATACGGTAAGCATGAGGAATAAATCTAATAATGTCCGTTTCTTAGTTAAGTTGTTTAAAACATTGTCATCAYCCTTTCTTTTTCATACGCAACAGCACTTCGGTGACATCGATCAATTCACAACGGCAACCGACATTTACGCAAAAGACCGAAATAAGCTCACTCAGTCTGGAAAAGAATCAAGAGGTGACAATAATGCTCATGGACACGTTGCTGGTGCATCCCTTGCTCATATCGGTGAATTTGTTGGTGGTGCCGCCGGCGTCGCAGCACTTCAAGCAACATGTGTACGGTAACGAAGACACAATTAATGYGGCGACAGTTCCTATATCAGAAATCGGTGCCAATTGTAATCCGGCTGATGAAGCGCAACGGGCGGGCACRCCAACAAGYAGCAATGTGACTGGCGARCGTCTGCTSTTGGCGGCAGATGACTCAGCGGTGTGTGTAGTGCCACCTTCACCGCCAAATGTACCGTCAATACTGCTTACACCGCCTACACATCGTGCTGCCTCGAMAACGTCTACAGTGTCAACGGCTTCATCCGTCGGTTCGGCGGTGTCGGTCTCCTCGTCGGCATCGGATTTCGTTTAAGTTGTTGTAGCTAAAAGCCATAGGCATTATGGAGACGTTCCATATATTTTGTGATTATTTTACTAATGAAATCGTGTTCAGTTTTTCATTCGTTGGAATATTATTTTATAAACTTATACACAACATTACTTGTAATTCTGCCATAAAAGCGCACAATCAAATATGAAAAAATGCTTGTCCAAATATTTTTTTTTTTTGTATTTGCGCAGAAAATGAAAAGTGAATTACGCTCGGACTTTTTATTGGAATCGAAGTGTTTATATATATGCTATATCATGTAGAAACAAAATTTTACTTTATGTACGTTAATTTTAAAAAAGCATTCGAGCTTGGAAAAATTTTAATTTTTCTTGTAAATTTTTTTTTTTAAGTTTTGTATGATATTGAATTTGAAGTTATTATAAATTAGTAATACTCATTTTTGCGGCTTTTCAGAATTTACAAGTCACGTCAATAAAAATAAGAGAAATCTAATTAGAATGTCGTTTTCGTTTGCGCTGGCGAAGTCGTATAAAATATTGTTGTTGTAAATACATATATTTGTATTGAATTAAAATTTATGAAGATGTATATCAACTTTTTTATACTTATATAATAACTTGTAATTTACTATGTACATACATTATGTATAATCATGAATGGTGTCGCACAAGAACATAATATACAACTAACTGCGTTAACAAATTAATTCTAAATGCATTTAAATTTTGAACTCAGTTGCAGGGTGGTTGCGAAGTTTCTCTTTAAGGAATTTTTTGTATTTTAAATTTTTATTATTAAAAGTTTAATTGGAAAATCGAAATCAAAAATTGGAAAATTAATTTTCAATACCAAAATAAAAAAATAAAAATTTGTAAACATATTTTTAAGGTTATAAATAAATTAATTGTATTGAGTAGTTTGAAAAAAAATTTATTAAAAATATTATCGAAAATTCTTTCATTACTATATTTACATTTTTATTGCCAATTTTCAATTATTGTTTTTGTTTTAATTTTTTCCTAAAAGTTTTTTTAATTTTTTTCTAATAATTTTTTTTTTAAATAAGTTTTCGAAAACTACTGCAATGAACGTAAACGGTTATATCGTAAAAATGTTGAAAACCGTAAAAATTCCATTTCAAATAGTTTGGAAGGGTGAATTGTTATCGATAACACCGGAGTTGAGTTGTAATTACCGAACCAAATCGAGTTGTTGTTGTAGTTGTTATTCATACCATCAACGATAATATCGCAAACAAGTTGAAAATTTTACCATTTTCAGTTTAAACTGGTTTGGCAGGTTCAGTTGTCGTCGATAATACTGAAAATTTCAACTGAAATGGAGTTCAGTTGTAAAAAGTAAACCACATCGAGTTTTTTTTTTTGTTATTTTAATGGTTAACCAGACCTAAAGTGGTAAACAGTAACAGTAATATCGTAAAAAATTGAAAACGGTATTAATTAATTTTTAATGGYTTGRYAGGTTCMGYTGTYRTCGACAAKACTGAAWATGTCAACTGAAATGGAGTTCAGTTGTAAAAAGTAGAACTAACYGATTTATATTTGTTGGTTTAGCGGTTATCCATACCCGATCTGGAAGATAAGTTAATTGTCAAGGAAGTCACGTAGCCGAAGGTCTYAGAAGCGTATTTTTACAATTGGGTCAAACCATAGAKAAAKGRGTGTTAAGTGAGTTGGTTTCATATGACATGGAAAAGAGATGGTTARAGTYATCGGSGMCTCTATGTAGGTTTGSGTTACCGAGTTGGTTTTTGGGATTTTGTATAAGTAGGAGTTTAATCTGCTAAAACATCCAAAACGTTATTTCGCACAGGTCACYCYAGATTCAACTAGAGCTCTTATTCTGTTATTGGTTGTGTTTGAACTATAAGGCCACCGTTCAMYGTGAGAGAGTTGGTAAAGGTGTTAATCGRCTGTGCATGGCGTTCAGTCCTTGTCTGAAGTCAATTCGAGATCAGAGTTTTAAACCCTAGCCCCGTTAAAAAAGTGTTCATTTGATACTTCAGATATCCCGGGAAAACAAATAGCTSCAACTTCTTGCTTTGAGAATATAAACATTATCCAAAGTTGGTTTGATGCACATCTMGAAACGCATCAATTATGGCTACATATAGCACCGATGGACAAGTTATATGGCCGCGTAAACTGGGCACKCTGAAATCGTCGCACAGTTTGATTTAATTTTCAATTCCAATTGCGGTTCGGGTATGTAGAGGAGTATACTGTATGGAACTCTTCATCAGCTTCAGCTTTCGGTGACCACAGCAGCGTCTCCAAGCAGAAGTGGCTGCCATAAAGGTAGCGGTAGAACCTCCTGTCACAAAGATGTTTAGAATGTTCCGTAGTTCCCGCATATGCGGTTTCTCGTTATTATTTTTTTTTTGGCCACCCGTAAATGTGTGCTCAAGGCTAGTGAAGCGATGTATAGACTCTTTATCTCTAGCAACGAGCTATTTTGTGATTAGACTGGTTTGGTTGCTTGACCACAATGGTTTAGTTGGAAGCTGTAAGACTAACGAACTTGCTAGGACAGATATTTAAGTCTCAATACAATCAATGTGCATTTACAAGGTCTTTTTTCGCTGAGGTGATTCGGAAGAGGTTTTGGAAGCTTTTTGCACTCAGCAAGGTCCACCTTTTTAAGGTTGTAGGAGTTCTAACTATATTTTGGCCGATCGGGAATCTTGAAAACAAAATCGGCTTTGGATATCATCGAAATCATAAATCGCTGCGTGGCTTGTGGCGCCGTCCTGTTGAAACCACATAATCTTCAAGTCCTTATCATCCAATTCGTGCCAAAAATATTCGGTTATAATTGATGGTAACGATTCCCATTCACGTGCCGGTCTTGATCAACGCGGAAGAAGTACAGTCCTATGACGCCGCCAGCCCATGAACTGCACTAAACAGTATTTTTTTTCGGGGCGCAATGTTGACTCATGTAGTACGTGTGGATTGCTGCCTGACCAATAACGAAGATGATTTTTCGATGAAAATCTTACAGTTGAGGCCACTGTCTCTTCATTTCGGTAGTAAATTTTAATAATTTCAACTCGTTGTTGATCGTACTGAAGAGAAATGTCAATAGAGAGGGAAAAAATATGGCGTTGTTTGCTATCGCTATAGGGCTACTTTTGTAGCGCCTCTATAAAAAAAAATACATAAATATTTTCAAAATCAAACAAATTCGTGTTTTTCCAAATATTTCATATTCCAATATAATTCCACATAATTTTTTATAACTACAAGCATTAGAATAATGAAATATGTAAAGGAAAATATACAGTAATATATATATGTATTAGTTATATTTTATATACTTTTTCAAATATATATATATTAGAAGCAATTAATTCCAAAACCTAAAATCTGCCAATACTTTTACAAACTTGTTTAACAATTAAAAATGGTTAACTATATATTGCAACAACTACAACGAATATTTATTATTTTGTGTTTTAAACATTTTTGCAAGCAAGAAGACATATTTTATATTCAATGGGAACATTTTAACGCCGCCCAGCGTTAACTATTAGCAAATCGCCATTCGATTAAAATGTTATAAAGGACTTAATAATTATATAACATTACACAGGGTGCGTTCGATGTGACAATCACAGCAACAGTGTTGCAAATTTGTCAAGTCAAARTATCACGTACTGCGTGAKCTTCTGGCAACACCTGCTCCAGCAACACGTTCTACTGTCATTTTTTGAACGCAGCATGCAAATATGTAATTCAGTTGCTGTACTGTTGTAATTAT